GATTGTTGACGATTTTAACGTACCTAAAATGGACTGGGACAACTTGGCATAGAAGGGTTCGCGTAAATCATTGGATTCCAAAATGCTAAAACTGACGCCAAATCATTCTCATACTGAATATCATGTTTCCAACGAAATCTCAACCCTTTGATTTGCATAAATGTTCTGCGTGCTAACTTCCCCACTTTTTCCTAGATTGTGTTTTTAAGTTACCATTTTAAATGATTAGTCTGCGTACAGCAAACAATGACCTTACTGTTTTGCATTGACTTTTTCTGTGGAAAATTAAGTCTGTGTATCTTTCTTATTCGTTATATCTGTTATGCAGCGACATGTTGTGGTTGACAAGCCGTCGCGAAATTTGTTGGCTCCAATAAATTATGTTGTATATGCTTGTCTTTAATTTCTGGTGGGTGAATATTGCGTTAAAGGGGAGAATCGTCTGGTTCTTGTCCCCGAAAAAAGACCCAAGTAATTCTGACGAACTTGGATGCATAGCGTCGCCTAGTAAGAGATATCGTATCATGTATCTAGTATAATCTAGTATAATTCGGTACTCCAAGCGAGTAGAAACACCTGAGATTTGAACAAATTTCTGGCTAGGAAACTTCGCTGTTAGTGGAGGTGAGTCATCGGCGCAAAATAGCAGGAAATTCTTATCCGAAATCCCCATACCGATTGGGACATTTTGAAAGGATATATAGGTACTGTTAGGCATCGTGCCTGTCCAACAGAAGGGATTCAAAAAGCAAGTCACTTTGTCTAGTTAACGTGAAATTTCAGGAGAAAGAAAATAAGAAGAGCGGAATTTGGATGAAAGTAGGCAAATTATTTTGCTGGTAAACACGGCACAATCTTTTTATTAAAAGCGTTTCAATAAGAGCGGGACGAGATAAGGTCCTATGTCCGCAAGTCGCAGGAGGGGTTTGAAACACGAATTATAGAACGAACAATATAAAGGTATAACAATATCAGGCAAAATAATAAAAGATGGCTGCAGCATTTAAAGGAGAAACAATGATGGCCTGAAGCATCTTAATCCGGCCGCCCTCTTTACTCGCAATGAGAACACAGTCATTGGAAGCATCAACTTCACAGAAGGAGGAGTGAGGAAAGAATTTTTTTCTTAACGAAGTTTAGTCTCCAAACCCAGACCAAACACTGGCAGAAGAACTGAAGAAACTTACTAGCGAACTCCCGAGACCGCTTTCGCATGCTTCCCAGCCATCCTTTGATTGAGACATTTTACGCTCGGATTTGGAAGGTGGCGGATATGTAACCCGTTTAGAAGGGTAGGCCTATAACAAGTGCCTACTGCTATTGGCCGGTGAGACCAACATGTATTTGTTGCGGAATTATGGAAAGGATCATTCAAAAAGCTGCCATGAGATTCCTCGAGGAAAAAGATATCCTTAGCAGTGTTCCACATGGTTTCTGATGAAAACAGTCCTGTTTGGTCAATATGTTCTATTTCATGGAGCAGTGGGTCTGGGCGTTAGGACAATGCACAAGAGTCGATTTCGTTTACATAGATATCAAAAGCCTTCGATACTGTGTCACATCGCCGGTTCCTCTACGAGTTTTGAAAATATGGGGTACAGGATAATCGACCGAAGTGAAAAGGGAACTTTTCAATCTGTCGATTGCGGTCTGTGTGCATTGGCAATGAGAAATCCGTGCATGTGTCAGCTGTGAGTAGTGTGACTTGGGGCTCCTTTCTCGCGCCATTACGGGTTTTTATGTGTGTCAGTGACTGTATGACGTGACAGGACTGCAAATGACATCAAAATATATCAAGCAATCAAATGCGGTAATGTTGAGAGTGCCATGCAAGAAACATTTAGCAGTCTATGTTGAAAGCTCGACCGTCGTTTCCAACAATGTCCTCGCAGGTGGGAACATACAGAGTGACTTCGTGTGAGTCAGTTTATAGTAAAAACAGACCTACGAAGCATCCTCTGCACACTCTTCTCCTCCCACCACGGGGGTCCGATTTCAAGACGGAGTCAAGAAGATCGGGGTGAGAGAGGGTGCAGGTGGATGGCACAAAGAAAACTAGCACTTTAGCGTGCGCCTTCATACCAGCTCGGATCCTACTGATTGAGAGTGCCGTAGAAGTCGCAATAAAAAGGAGTTATTTCAGCCTGACCCTCCGTCCACCATTTGGCCACCCTACACAAGCAAGAAGGACTAAAGCGCCTATGGTAGTGATCTGATAAATGGTAGTTGGGGTTTGACGTTGAGAATCACGTCACACTACGGCACAAGACGGAGAAGGCAAGAGCAAAGGGCGACCCTAGTCAATACTACCCTGACAAAACCCCAACGAAGGTAACTAAAAAAATAACCTCGGAAACACCATTTTGTCTGAACTCTCCTCAAAATATTTCTGGGCGACCAAAAGGCCGACCACTTTTTTCTTTGCCACTAAAGGAACTTTTATAACTACCAGTTAAGTATTCAGAAAACTGTACGAAAACTTTACCCGTTTGCAAATAGAACATGGAATTTGCGCTTGGTGCTCCTGGCTGAAAAAATGCTAAGCTCTTTAGAAGAGTTAAAAGGAGATCAACAAAAAATCGGAAAGAATCTAAATTCCTTATCATATAAGAGTCGACATGAGGCACTTGATCTACCTCAAAATGAAATGCCCCCTGTGCCACCCGTCCCATCCAACGTTTTTATGTTACAAAGCATGCTACTCCCTATATTTTAGTAACATTACGTTTTACAATTTTCGCTATCTCCTGACCGCCACATATGCGCTTGCTTTGATATTACTTGGTCCATTCATTGCCGTACTGGATATTGTACAATCTTGACACAGAAGGCATTCACAGACAAACTCATACCAGTGACCAATGCTTGTTGTATGTAATTACTTACCAAATTTTTTTCACACTTGCCTTACACATTGTTTTTTTATGACGTTATTGTAACCAAAAGGGAGTTCAAAGGCGTTCGCCTACTTTTCCCTTAATAAATCTGATCTGATCTGATCTGATCTGATCTGATCTGATCTGATCTGATCAGACATAAGCGCCCTATCATAAACCTATTCTATCTCATACTGGCCCACCGGATTCTGGGGAATCGGGACTACTCTCTACAATTCTCAATGGTTAAAACAATCAACCTGAGTGGGAACTCTCCCTATCTGGATGTTGTCATTATTCGTCCTTGCGTCGATTTGTCGGTAACTGGAACGTCAGCAATAGTGGCGGGCAGGAAAGAACCGTTTAAACATAAAATAGATGATATTTACTTCAAAATACCTCTAAAGCAGATAGGAATGCTCTATCAGACCGAGGCAACGGTTTGTTCCTATTTATACCTAAACTCGGGCGTAATTTCTTACAAAGTATCCTTCGGCCCTACGAAGGATGCAGAGGTTTCAATCCTTACTGGCACAATAATGTGCAGCAAGATGTAAATGCTGCTCAAACATTACAGTGACACGCTAATTAGATTTGATTGATGCGTGTACGGCTTTGGTAGGGTCTCGTATATGCTGAAATACATACTGGACCAAATCGGATCGTAAACCTAGCCTGCCGATTCAAGTTAAAATTAATCACCCAAAGCATGGCGTTCGTAAAATTATGAGCACGTCAATGGAATCGTGTAGGTACGCTCCTCGCGTATGTTACAAAACGAGGATAAACTTAAATAAATATGCGATATCTGCGTGCTCAGTCATACTACGCGATCGGGAGTAATTCTTCCCGTTGCATTTGTTTGTTAATTTGTTAAGGAATCTAGAGCTGAACTGAATTCCAGTGTCATCAATCGACATGCGTAACGTTTTTCATACGCTTTCCAGAGTTAAGCACATAAGCCTAACGGGCTGGTTCCTCGTCGGATAAATTGTCGATCGAGTGTAGGCTCTCGACTCGAGGTTCGGAAATCATCGCTACTCCATATGGCGGATGCCATACTTCTCGCACCCATGGAGGCCAAGTCGACGTCCGTTATTTTAACGGAAAGAGAAAATCTACCATACACCCAGATTTCACCTGTTACACTGTCAGTCAGGTTTGCATGCGTGTTGATGTCAGCTTTATTTCCATTATTACTTACAGTCATCAGCTTCTGTTCCGCTGGTTCCCGTCCCCGTTTATTTAAATTTTTGTAATCGTTCTATTGTATGTGAGCTTTAGAATATTTTTTTATTCTCCACTGCCTTTTTCGGAATTTTGCTCTATAATTTCGTCGTTTAGCCATCACTGATCTTCCCGTTCGTGTTTGAACATTCACAGTTTTATTACCATGATGCTTCTCGCTCAGCCCTCTCCCACTAGATTGTCAGGCGCTCTAATGACTGTTTCTAAAAGCCTTAAAGGCGACTTCAAAAAAGTGTTATGATGCCCAAGAGTCTGCGAGCTTGTGCGCAGAACTCTGCCCTTAGCACATTTTCTAGGACAATTTGCTTAAAGTCAGAGGACGTTGGCCTGTTGGCCCATGGAATCATTCAGTGAAAAGATATTCAGTGTCGGCTCAGGTTTTTTGCTGACCAATACGACGGTTGGGTTACTCCATTGAGATTCTAGTTCGGGGACATAGAAGATTTAATCGGTTGGGTTAATACGTCAAATACAGGATTTCGATGGTTCGCAGATCTTTATTCATCGGATGCCATCACTGACTGTAAAGCCAAGTCAGGCTTTTGATTTGTCCTATTTACTATTGTAAGTTGGCAAAATGAAGGGCAGTCACTGTGATTTATGCGATCCCTTCTAAAATTTGACGTCTGTGTTGAATGAGCTATTTCGTTTGATTTCTTTGAGCCCCCCTTGAACAACCAGGAGCCTGTTCCCATTGTTAAAGTTATGGATAAGACTGCGGATATGTCATTGAAGGCGTCTGATAGGATCGGAGTCATAAACACTTATGATAGTAATAAGTGAAACTCTTACTTTACTTTGAACACTTCTCCAACCTGAACGTATCGTTGGTGTTTAACTGTGCATGCGCGCATTTTCTGCTTCCGCGCTGCGAAAATGGCTTCACGTAACTGGAGTCGCGGCGGTAACTATCCTTTTTTACCATTTTAATTACTAATTTCAGGTCCTGGCTATGGTGGTGGATATATGGGCTCGAATTCTGCCAACATACCAGGTTCCATGGGTTTTTATGCGAGTCCGATGGACCGCCGGTCAATGTACAACACCAGCCCGATGGGCAAGCCAGACAGTTGGGGCGTGGGGTACCGCGATGATCCCTACCGGCGTCCGCGCGATGACTATCGTGGAGGCAAGCGACCTAAAGGGAAGAGCCCGATGGGCGAGAAGCGTCCCCATCATGATAACTTCGGTCCTCGGAAGGATAATCGCCCAGTGAAGCGCCCTCAGTCCAGCAGCCATTACGAGGTTAAAGTGCCCCGGATGCCCCTCAATATCAAGTCTGCGACGTTCCCCGAAGCTAAACTGCTTCATCCACACCTGTCTATCCCGGGGGACTTTTCTAAAGCATGTTTTTCTTGGCAAGATGCTTTCCCTATGCACGAACCAATGAAACTGGGCACGAAAACTGACATCTACGTACGCCGTCGGTCGTTTTGTTTCATTACAGTTTAGATTGTTCACAGAGACGTGGAGTCACACGTCACTCACCCACCCAATGCTTTTGATGCTCCTGACGCGGACTACTCCTATTCAGTGCGGGTTATGCTTATGGCATCCCCCGAGCTTGCTGAACTTTACAAAAGTACCTGCCGCACCGCGGACGAACCATACAATGCCGAGAAGACGGCGGCCACGAAAAACATCTACTTTCTTGTTGGTGGAAGGACAAAGACTGAAACCATGGGTATCGGCGGCCCATGGTCCCCTAGCCTGGACGGGGAAAACCCGGACACTAATCCTCAAACATTAATTAATACGTCAGTGAGAACTTTTAAAGCATTTACTGGAATTGACTTGTCTTCAGTTACGGAGTGGTAAGTTCTACTTTAAGATAGGATTACTCCCTAGGACGCGCTTCATGGAGATCCGTTACTATCGATGCGCCAACAGCAAGGCACCTACGCTGACCGAGGATGAGGAAGAGCGTGATATACTAGAGGACAGACAAGAAGTTGTAGTATTCATGATTCCCAACGTCTCTCACCTGATGCCACCTGACTGTGAGTGGGAGAAGACCAAACAGTTGTACGCTGAGTCCCTGCAAAAGCTGCTTGCATCACCCGAGCCCGAAAAGACAGAGGCTCCGACGAAGGAGGAACCCGAAGCCGAAGTCTCGCAAACTGTTGACACTACGTTAGATGAGAGTCAAGAAGTTGGTGTGTCAGCCGACGGTGAACCGACTCACTACTCGAAGCTCGACGTCAATGTCATGAAGGTACGCGTATACTTCAATACTATCGAGATATGTGTAGGTCACTGAATTGCGAGCTGAGCTTGCTGCCCGGAAGTTGGATATCAAGGGCGTCAAGGCCAATCTGCTTACTCGACTCCAGACTGCGTTGGAAGAGGAGAAAAAGGCTGACGTGGGGGAACCAAGGCCCGAAGAAACGCCTAAGACAGGTAAGTACGGTTATCGACCCCTCGGGAAGCTTCACGCAGACCAACCGGTGCTGAAGATTATTCTCTGAGTCATCCCCTCGCTAGTAACGTCCTTCTTTTTACTTGTTCAGCCGAGGATACACCCACTAAACCGGCTGCTCCCTCGGGCCAGCCAAAGGAAGAGCCCAAGGAAATTTCTGAAAAAGACCGTCGCCGCTTGGAGCGTCTCTATCGTTTGGGGGATAAGCCGGCAATCCTTGTTTTCCCTAACAGGGCTGCTCGTGGTGGTCGATTCGATTGTCACCGCGTCTCACTTCACTCGCTCCTCAACTATCAATCTGGGGAACAGAAGGAACACAATTTCGAAGTTTCTCTATTTGCGGAACAGTTCCATGAAATGTTGCAGCGTGATTGCGCCTTCACCATCTTCAAAGCTATCTACAGCGCTCCCGAAAAGGACCCTAATGAGGCAAAGTACGAGGAACATTATTCGCCTATATGTAGTAGGATCTCACTGATGCATATGGCTTAGTCGGCAATGTCAACATTGCTGTGGGGTCTGACGGGCATAGGGGGGCTAGTTGGTTGTCCGTCGCTGTCTCCGCTACTGTCATTATCTACAGCAAACTGAGGAAAGATTGTTTTATTTTAGGCCTGAACAAAACGGGGTCTCGCGTGATGGTTCTGACGAGCCAGAGTCCAAGCGGAGGAGAAACGAAAGCGAGAGCAGTCAGACGAACAACGACGAAACGGGGAAAGCCAGGCGCCTGCGTCGGACTGTTGACCCCAAGCTCTTGTTCTCTTTCATTTATTTCGACATTGGCCATTCGGGTTTCATCCGAGATTACGACTTGGTGGACATTCTCCACTTGCTGAATCTCGCTTATTCGAAAGCTCAGGTACTTCCTTCCTTATATACATACATTAGCTCTAGATGAAAAAACTGGTTGCAAAAGTAACTACCCGTCGGGATCATGTGCAGTACCGTAATCTGACTGACAAGGACATCGTCGAGGGCGACGGGAACGACGTTATTTCATTGAAGCTTGAAGAGAATGACCCTGAGTTTCTGCGTGATTTGGCTGCTGGAAACGATCTCTTGTTCGGGGGTGATAAGCCACAGGTCCCGGCTAAGTAAGTTTGTTTTGACCTTAAAGTATTGTCTTCAAGGGCTGTCGTTGTGGGTTCTGATGGAGACGCCCAACTCATACAGAGGGTGCATGCGGCTGAGGAAATAAAGAGGTCAACGGAATTCCAGTTCTTCCAGATAAAGGATGAATTAGGTAAGTCCTATTAAACTTGCCTGACTTTTTTTTAGAAAAGACGCGTGCTAAGCTGAATTCTTGCAAGGACACGGAGGAGAAACTTCGCGGTGAAAACCGTGATCTACAGAACAGGTTAAAGGAGGAGCAGAAGTCTAGCCGGGACAACAAAGTCCTTGTAGGCACTTACAACCACCTACTAAAGCATTCACGAGATATGATGTCAAATGCCGTTACTGAAATCGATAAGCAATTTGAAAAGGAAAAGGCCAAACGTGAGGCCGAAAAGGCAGCCGCTGAGGCAGAAAAAGCCAAGGCCGAGGCCGAGAAAGCAGGCGATGGAAAGACTGATGAGCCGGAGGGCGAGAAGAGTGAAGAGAAAGAGTGGGAGGTTGTTGATCAAGTGTAATAGTAACCCTGAAAGCGCTCGTAAACCGTGCATTTCGTACATTTTTTTATCTGTTATCTAAATACAAAGCCTGTCAAGTCCCGATCCCCAAATTGACTTTTCCTACAGCTGTGCCTCACATCACGTGCAGTTGTAATTTGTAGTCTGTTTCGAAGACTTCCGAGTACCTCGTCTAGACCAACGCCGCTACCTTAAGCAACTCCCTTGTGGCTTTTCCGCTTTCGGGCGCTTTACGCCGGTTTTCATCTAAGACCAGCGCAAGTCTTTCACGGCCCCCCATATGCCGGACGGCCAAATTTTCTGACTCTGGGAATTGTGGCTGTTTGATTAGTGCTTCCGGGATCGCTTCTCGTCTCTCTTATCATATGTAACTCACCACACAAACTTTGCGTGAAATTTCATGGGCAGGGCTTTCTGCGTAAAACCAGATGTTTCTTATCAGAATTCGAGTTGGGAGCTACTATCCTTGCTGCACTCGTCGTAGTAGTCGCGCCTGCAAAGCTAGTGGAAGGCAGCTTACCTTGTGCGTTAGATGGCCCCCAGGTCTTAACGCAGCGACTGGCTGGGCTCACTAGCGCGCGGCTCTTGTAAGTTGCATTAGGCGGCGACGAGGGATTCGGGCAAATGGGCTTGGCACGCGTGGGGCCGGTGACTTTATGTCATGCTAGCTGCAGCGGCTGGCCTGGCGCGGCCAGGTCCACTCATCCTCGCCGCTGGCACAGGATGGTGGGGAAGGCTGGCCCAGCATGACTCACAATCCGGTGAGTCCCTAGTCCTCCGTCAGTCGGAAGCTTGGTAGCTTGCGGATGGCTCAGTCGTGTTCGGTGTTGAAATTAGGCCGCAATTGCCCTCCGAGCACTATGCACTGTAGGTGGCATCTCGTGGGATGTCGACAGAATTCCGAAGGTACCATTGTTGGGAAGGTTTACTTAGGTGGGTGCCCTACTAGTTCCAGGGTCAGCCTTCGAACGCGCGGCGTCCTGGCCGCCTGATCGAGTCACGTTGAGGAATGGCAACCCTCGTAATGTGGGCCCTTAGCTCTCGATCGTCGTGTAAGCCCAGACATTTCGCGGAAAGCATGCACATATATATCCTCTTTGTACTTATTCTTAGCGAACGACGTCCTCCAATGCTATACTCGGAGATTGGAAGGTTCTCGGTCTTAGGAAGGTCTGCATCTATGGAAATGTTTAAGACGGAGGGGTGTGCGTTCAAGCAGCATCGTGTCGGCCCGTTTGTCAGCAGTGCGTATGGAGTATGCAAATTACTTCATTTCCATTACAAAGCTATGAATTCTATGTGGTGTTTGCTTAGTAGTGTAGTTTGAAGACTACACGCACTTGCAATGAGAGGTCTAGTATGCAATATTTCGGGGCTTGAAAACCCGCTTGGAACCAAGGGATAGTTCTTTTTCAGGTGGGAGATTTAAGGAAGGCGCGAGTTGCCACAAGAACAGTGCAGGTGATATCTTTGTGTGTGCTTTGTATGAAGTATCTTGGGACTTCTAAGGACGCCGGAGGTCGATGAGAAGTGTCTTAATACTCGTGCGCCGAGCCTGATTTTCGCGGACAGTCGGACGGACGCGCACTCGAGAGCCATGGTCCTGGTGTGATTGAGGATCTTTGAATTATTCCGCTTGATAATACTACAACCTCAACTAAGTAGTCTTTCTCGACTGAAATCATGTTGCAGCATTCCAGCTAACACTTCGTGAGATACGCCAGCCACCATGTGTAGTTGCATGCGACCCTCGAATTCGCATGGTACCCGGTTGCCGCACCCCAGGGAAGTCGGCTGTGGTCAGCGTTTATCCACCTGACTTTGCAGCCGGGCTCCGGGCACAACCTCTGAAGGCAAGACATGCTAGTAAGGGTAATTGAACCCAAGATGGCTTTTTGGTTTATTTGTCGACCACGGCCGGCCGCACCCCAGCCCTTGGCAGAGAGTATTTTTTGCTTGTGACTAGGGTCCAGGTAGCTTTAACGTCCAGCGCTCCACCCAGAAGCTACAGACCAGCACTGTTGCTTGCAATCGTTTGCGTCAAAAATCACACGGGAGTGTTGTTCACTGATGAATTTCTGGCCAACTAAATGAGCGCTAATTACATGAAAATGTAAAGACACACGTCGGAGTACCGAGTTTCCCAAAAGTGAATTAGGCCGTGTTGCCGAGAGAATTTTTTGCGAAAAATTTTTCCAGTGGGTAAAGTGTTCCGTAAACAGTCCCCAGAAGGAAGTGGCGTTGTGTGAAGGACAGAAATGCCAGGCTGTGTCAATTAAGGCTTTCCCGGTCAAGGCATCTTTTGGTAAATAAGGAATTTCGATGAAGGCCACTGAATAAAGTTACTTAAAAGTGTCACCCGAAGACATGGAACGGGTGGCCGGAAGGTCTGTTTATTTCTGGATCGACAATTTGTGGTGACAGGGCTTAGTGAAGATTAAACCGAACTGTAAGCCAGGAGTTTCGCTTTTTGGGCGAACTCGGGTAATGCGGAACAAATAGTTTGTCGAGGTGTAAGAGTCAGCATTGAAACACTTCCCAAGTCAGGGGACATGGTGACGGAATAAGTAAAACACTCCTCTGTCTGAGATGGTGCCGACAAAAACAAGAAAGACCGGAATGGCCATTTCTGGCTTAGCCGTCACCAGCCAGTCATACTCAACCCCAAGTGTGCGACTGCCTGCGAGGGTTCCAGTATGAGCCCCAAGGCACAACGGAACGAGCACGTCGCGTAACCTGATCGTTGGGCGCTCATCTGTCATAATTGATATTCCCGATCACATCCGACAGGACAACGGGCCCGTGGCTCAATGGTAGAGTGTCAAGCTCCATGGCCAAAGATCCTGGGTTCGAATCTCAAGTGATCCACACTTGGGATTGGGTGTGACTGGCTGATGATGACTCCCTTGTCTTTGTCGGCACCATCTCATTTACCTCTACTACTACTAGTCGCCGTGCGACTGCCTGTGAGGTTTCTAGTATGAGCCCCAAGGTACAACGGAACGAGAACGTTCCGCAACCTGATCGGTGAGCGCCCAGCTGTCGTAACTCTTTTATCTGTCCGGGAGAATACCAGTGGCTCAGGAGGTAGCGGTGTAAATCACTCGGTCATGCTGGTGGACGACCGTCCATGCCAGTTCGCTAGTGCGAGGTCTGTACCATGTCCGACGAATGGCTGAAGACCAAAATATCGGTCCGCGTTACGGTGTCGACAGGTCGAGGGGCCAAGTCACATGCGATGCAAGCAGTTAACTGAAGGGGGAGGTACGGTTGTGTCACCACGTCGATTAGACTATTCCAGCATACCCCCGCTAAACCAAAAGCCAGGCGTGAAGCAATGCCGTAGGAGTTGTTCATGTCCAAAAAACGGGAGTATCTAAGCGACCGAGAAAGAAAACATGGCGTTCACTGCGAGTGATACGGACTGGAAAGGCGTGCGGGGAGTCTCGGGTGTGTGTTGCTATGAGAGAGTTGGTACGGGAGTTGCGGTAGAAAGCAGCGAACGTGGGAGACAGGGGTTAGTGGAGGTGAAGGGGCAGGGAGTGCGGATCAGCACATACGCGTCCGTGAGACTGGTTCGGAAACTTCTCTGGAGCAGCTGCCTTAAATCATTAAATGCTAACAGCCTCGTCATTGTGAACTCGAAGAATACGGCAATTCGTGGTGTTGCGAGGCGTCACCCGGAACGGTCTTTTATAGAGCGTTTTCAGTGGCTTGAGTCTGCGGTGACACCGCACGAAGAAGTGAGTATATCTGCTTTTGTCTCTGATGATGGATTCGAGCAAGAATCCGAAACGTCAGGCTAATAAAGCTCTTGTCCCGGCGATCGTGTCTTCTTCTTCTTCTTCTTCTTCTTCTTCTTCTTCTTCTTCTTCTTCTTCTTCTTCTTCTTCTTCTTCAAGAATTGAGTATAGTCAGCAGAACCTTTTCAACACAAGACTCGATCGAGGGAATTTGCAGTGGGACCATTGACAGCTTGTGCATGAATTGTCGATGGTGGTGCACGAAGATGCGAGGATCTTCATCGACACATCGGAAGGTTGGGGGAAACGTCTCATTTGGGAGTCGTAGGATGGCGTCGAACACCAGTTCAACGGTGGAGCAGCCATGATCCCACTTGAGGACGAGACGGATGACAAACAGGGTCCTCAGCAGCCCACACAGGGGCCCTCACTGTCGTTGAAATTACTCGACCACCCCGTTTGCAGCCGGGCGGTAAACTGTCCCATTAACGAGGGAATGTCTTGATCACGATCGATACCTTCACATTTGGGCCGGGAAACAGCATTCAGCCATGAGGTGAAGCGAGCAACGCGGGTGAGCGCATTGGGGCAGTCGTTCCGAGGGAGTGGGATAACAATATCCAAGTGAAAATGACTGAACTGAGCGTTTGGAGTGGGGAACATACCAGCCGGGCCATGGTTGTGCCGACAGGCCGAAATAAGTCCATGTCCAACCCGCCAGATCCCTCCATATGCCGGTCCAGACGAACCCTTGTGCCATTGTTTTGTCGCAATTGAGATCCCAGGGCGGAGAGATTGTGAAGGACAACGATGACAGTTTGGCTGAGGGATTGGCGCACAAAAAGGCGATGAAAGGAAGTAGAAACACCACACAGCACGACTTCATGCTCGGTAATAGGCGGGACATCCTGGAGTTGGGGGCCCCCAAAATTCTCGTATGCGAGTTGACCCAGCGCTGTTCAGCATACACTGCTATGAGGTCAGTCCATATGGAGAGTTGAAAGTAAGCAATGCGGGGCCCAGTCAGCGCGTCAACCACCACAAACTGTGGTGTGTTGATAGGTTGGATTTTGGAATTGAACTGGGAGATATAGTCCAGTAAATGGATCTTCCGGGGGTTTGATTTGCCCGAATGGAGCTGGAGGGCAAATAAGAAGGACTTGTGTTGCGTGGAGATGAGGAATCCCTCAGGAAAGTATCGAAAGTGCATTACGGCAAAATAGACGACCAGAAACTCCCCTCTAAATGTGTCGCAGCGCGATTCGGTGGACTACAACATTCTGGAAGAACAGGCTAGGATCTGGGTTCGATCGGCGTGGTGTTGCTAAAGAACCACACAAACGGCGACATTGGAGGCATCGGTCATGAAGGAGGTATGCGCATCGGGGTCTGGCAGGTCAGGACAGCATTCACCTTGTCAGAACCAGCGAAAATGTCTGTGAAAAACCCGATTGAATCATTACGACCAGAGAGGAGGTTTGTCAGCTGCAGAATGATGTCAGCACAGTTCGGGAGAAAGTGTTGGTAGACGCTGACAACTTACAAGAAGCGCGGAGTCTGAAATCTGGCAAGTGGGGGGGGGGAAGGGGACGTTAATCCACGGCTGGTGTGGAGGCCGACTGGGTCTACTAGACCCTTGAGAAGTTCGAGGGAGTGAATGCCGAGGCCACATTTGGTCAATTATAGAACAACGTCAGGTAGCTGAATACGGACAAACACCGTTGCAAGATGCCTTAGACGTCTATTAGTGGTAGTGCTGGCCACCAAGAGGTCATCAGTATGGGCGTGGACGAATGGCACGCCATGAATTACTCGGTTTACGGACCTCTGTAAACTTTGGGAGATGTTGCACTGTCCAAACGGCATACACGACAACTCGAGAGGTCAACGGGAGTGGTGATGACCGTCTTCGAAACCGCCACCTCCTCCTCCTCCTATGTGATGGGGGTCTGATGTAAGGCAAGGTTCTAGGTCTGGGGAGCTGGGTAGCGGTGACGGGTAGTAATGTTTTTCAAGGCCCAGTACTTATCACAGGGGCGTCAGCCAGCAGTGATAGCCTTGGGGACGAGGTCCAGGAGCCTTCCGACTGACAGAAGATGCCCAGTGGAAGCATGTACTTTAACTCGACCTTGGCGGCAGCCAGACGTTCGGGCGCCGAGTGAGGGACCAAGAAAACACAGAAGTTGATGAAGAGCATCGTGCGGTGAGGAAGAGACTTCGAAGTCGGAACGGGTGGAATCGATTTATTTGACGAGGAGCCGCCGAAATTGACTAGCCGGGTCGACATCTGAGACGGAGAGTTGGCGAGACACTTCAAAGGAAGGAATACTCCGGACAGCAAGAGTAGTAGTCGGATGGTAAAGATGGGACTGCCGGCAGTCAACCGGAAGATCGAGAACGGCAAGGAAGTCTGCACTAGGAAAGGCACAGGAGGCGTTAGTAACGACAAAGACCTGGAGGGAAAGATCCAGGAGGATGATACGCAAAAAAGAGAGAATAGGAACCAAAAATGACGATCGGGAAGACTTTGATGGCCTGAAGAAAGAGGCTGGAGTTGGGGCGGGGACGGTCGGTTGCTGTCAGGGGAATGACACCGGGCTGCGTGCCAGTATTGACCAATAAACCTTTCCCACGCCGATTGTCGCAGGCATAAAGTGTGCGCGACTGAGGCTGGAGTTGCCGAGGCCATCGACTGCACTGACTGGCGTGCCCAAGTCGTATCCGGTTGCGATCATTCATTTGTTGAACACGTGAATATGGATCTCCTGTTTTGCCTTAAACTCCAGTGGGGGAGTTAGGGCAGTGTTGGGCTTTGGGTTAGGTAGGTAAGGACGAGAGCCACAATTCGAACGGTTGGGATTAATGTTAAGACACAGGAATTGAGCTCCGTGTTGTGTCGAAGTTCATGGCACTGCCATACGGAGGTCCAGGGCCGGCCGAGAGCCTGACTGGTTTTAGTGATCCACTGAGCCGCTTCGTCGTCTATCCTGGTGCTGTTTGAGATGACGCTGTCTACGTAGGTGAACTTCTCCACGGATGCCAGTCGTATTTCACTCACGCTGATACCGGATGTCGTGTGTCCCTTTTCTGGTGCTAGTTTGTGCATGAGCACCGTTTTACCCACGTTGATGACTAGCCCGAAGTTAGTGCAGCCGGAGACGATGTCAAACCCCTGTACTTTTATCTGATCCAGACAACTGGACTTCGAAAAGAAAAGTGCTATTACTTCTATTGTCCGTTTGAATGCGCATCGTCGGCGAGTGAGCATGCTGCAGCATGCAACTCAGTCGACCTGTCGTTATCGAGGGACGACAGCTTGCATACCTGACACTTAGCTCGCTAGTTAGAGTTAAAAAGCATACACTACAACAAATCCCGTACTTTGAAGCCTGTTCCACTCATTCTGAATATTAATGAGGTATCCACAGAATGATTTATAGGTGAATTCCTCCTCCCCCACCCGGTCTGTGGGCGGAGGATCCAGTCCGTAAGCCGACCGTTTTCAAGGTCACATACAGTGATGAGTAACCTTCAGTAGGTCTGGGTGGTGCCCTGGTTTGTGACTCATTGGTTCCCAACACACCAGCACGGTGGAAATATGTTTGATACCGGACCAGGACTGTTCACTAATCAAGTTTTTTCCATGCCGTGTTCGTGGCAAGCCAGACTCTTGGGAACATTCCACAACTCCTCATCCCCCCCACAAGCGGACTCACTGGATAGCTCGGTTCTGTATCTACGAGCGATAGCAAAGGCTCATTTTTATCAGTTGCCTTCTCTTTACAAGAACTGACCTTAATCTGAATGAAGAACGGAGTTCTCAACGGGAAAACCCAACTTTATGCACACTTTCACTTAGTCCTCCAAACTGCGTGGGTTCGAATCCCGCCGGGACGCCGAGTTTTCCACAGTTGGGTCAATATGAATGTGAATAATAGCTGAGAATGCACTCTTAAGTGATCCAACTGGATGAGATGATTCCAGTATAGGCACGAGAGACTCAGTGAGGAGTGTGGCGTTGCCGACAGTTACAAGTAAGTGTCATAGAAATATATTGACGGCTGACGGAGAGCAAGGGTTGGAAAGGTGTCGCGATTGCGTGGGAAGGGGTACAGGTTGTTTGCGCCGACACCATACCCTACCAACTCCACCCTGGATCCCCGCGGAAGTGTCATCTTCTTGGCAATGTAGACAAAATCTTCGTCAGTTTTGGTGCTGCATTACAGACGGCAAGCAATCTGGTCTCTTCTTCCTTATTTCCTACCAGAGGAGGAGCTCGGCAAAAAGGGGCTAGATCGCAGTTGATAGCCAAGAATGGGGAGGCGGACGGCAACCTTAACTCTAATCCCAACCTTGACCCTAACCCCAACCCTAACCTCAACCTTAAACGTTAATCGTTAACCCTAACTGCAACCCTAACCGAAATCGTAAACGTGACCGTAGCCCTTAGATATAGCCGTAACTGAAAAACCTAACCGTAACACTGAAACCTAGTCTTAAGCTCAAACCCTAACCGTAACCCGAAAATCTAAGCCTAAAGGGCATAACTCTAACCCGAAAATCGGAAACCATTAACCGGTACCCTAATCCTAACCTCAAACGTAAAACGAAAACCAGATGGGTCAGATGTGATTGTGGAGCTCCAAAAAATAACCCCAGTAAGCAATCCCCCCCACCCCAGCCACCTGCAATACGGGGCCTGGCTACCAACTGCGGTCTAGTCGGCAAAGGCTTGCGTAACAGCACCACGGGCGCAAACTAGCAGCGTAGATGGCGTGAGCAGTTAAACGTCCCGGGCACTGATGGAGGTTTTCAGATCCGACTAGAACTGCATACAACGATTAATCAAGTTACCCCTTGCGCAAAGAGCCCTACTAGGATATTTCCTGATTGGTGACGCAGATTGTGGCGATCCTACCGGCGTACATACGGAGACAGCGCGTCTCTGGCGCGTACTTACACGTACTTACCAACGACAGTCTGCGTTTCGACCAATCATAGCTATGCAAACCGGCCAATTAACCTCTAGGCTGATGCAAGTATGCCCTCGCTCAAGGCACTCGGATGACCATCCCAGTAGAACCTCGCCACCCGCTTCGGCGACAGCGGATGTTTGCCTCTCGTACAGTCGCCAACCTGCTCCCACCATTCATTCGGTAGAGAATGCATTGCTCTCTCAACTGGCGTTCAGCTTTTCCTCTTTCTTTTCAGGACCGGATCTGAAGGTTGTTGCGGCCTGTGGCTTTGGCCACCGCAGTAAGACTACTGAGTCTGCAAGAGTCTGTAAATACAACCTTCCTGCAACTGCCTTTTTATATTAGGGGAAGGAGCTCTGTACGAGTCCCAGTGTTCAAAAGAATACTTTTCTGGGTTAGATGATAGTTGGTAGCCCTCCTGACACCACAAACTCCCAGCTGCCTGTCAATCGGGACCGGTGGTAATAGGGGCTATACGGGTGGGACAATTGAGTGGACGGGTAAATGGCGACTGTAGTATATGCTAGGAATTGACACTCCTGGTAAAGTGGAAGCCTAATTTAGATTCGGTGAAAAATACAAGGAAGGTATAGAAATGAGCAAGGAGACTTTGAACGGTGTGTGGAATAAATGCATCCTAGCCTCAGATTGGAAAGAAAAGCAAGTGAAGGCGAACAACCAATGGGAAGAAGGCAACTGGTCCGAAGGTCATTCCGCAGTGTAAGCGATAGAACTCCATCCAACATAATGGACAGAAGGACATGAGAGTCAAGCAGCGGCACACGGAACGCCACAACGCAAGCCGGGTAAGACTTTTATGCGAAAAAATTGGTTTGGGCGGAAGAGAAAATCCGCAAATAATGAGGCAGTCGAAAGCTACTTCTGCTAATGAAAGCTGATAAAGGGGTAAGCGTCATTGGCATCGTTACCGGTGCCATTCCGCCTAAGATAGTACCTCTACAATGAATGAGACAGTCAAGAGCTACCTCTTCTTATGAAAGTTGATGTAAGGAAAGCCTCATTGTCATCGTTACCTGTGCCCAGGATAGTACCTCCACAATGAACCTGGTACAGGTAATACAGCACGCATGCAAATTTAAAAGAATAATGAGAAAGTAATCATAGCTACTTAAATCAAGCCAGTAGGTACAATTATGGATTATGTGGGCACGGTTGCCAACTGCCTCTTCTAATGAAATTTGACATATGGTAAGCCTCATTTGAATCGTTAGCGGTGCATATCTGCCCAGGATAGTACTTCTAAAATGAATATGATACAGGTAATACAGCGTGCGCGTGAATTTAAAAGCATAATGGGAACGCAATTAAAGCTACTGAAATCGATCCAGTAGGTACCATTGTGGAGTCTGTGGGCACGGCTACCAACTATCATCTTACCCTTTTCTGGCTATAAGATTAGATATTTTCCCTCTTTCTTGCACTTTTTCTTCACATTTTCCTCCTCCTCCTCCTCCTCCTCCATCATCATCATCATCATCATCATCATCATCATCATCATCATCATCATCATCATCATCATCATCATCAGCAGCAGCAGCAGCAGCAGTAGCAGTAGCATCATCATCATCATCATCATCATCATCACCACCACCACCGCCGCTGCCGCCGCCACCACCACCACCATAACAACACGCACTTATACCCCAACCCCCGCCAATGGATGACTCGGATTACCAGTTACCAATGTGTTTATTTCTTCTAAATTTGTATGATTTATGGTAGGGATTTCCGAACGGGAACTGAGTATGCGGACGGCCCATCAATCTCCACACCGAAAGACCGCTGGCAGAGTCACAAAATTTCAGAGCATCTGTCTGACGGGGTAAGGCAGACCATTAGCGCTGAGAACAGTCGGTCTCCTTATGAGGACTGAACACAAACAAAGTAGGATGCAAATGAACGTCATGAAAATCAAAGATCGCTTAAATCCCAGTGAACAGGGTGTATAGTATATCACATCTCGTGTCTTAACTGTCCTTAGAGTTACACCAGTCAGAGTGAGCGCATGCTCGTATCGCGCATGCAGGAGCATAAGCTGGTTGTGCGATGGGGTGAAGGGTTATCGCAGGTGGCTGTCTTAGCCTTGGAAACCGGTCAGGAGTATAGATTTGCAGCCACCAGGGTAGTCACCAACACCAGACGCAATACAAGTCGAGAATCAGGTGGGGCCTGGACCTTGGGTGTGAACTCGGTCGACCGATGTATCGACTTGTCGCTGGCATACAGTGCCCTGCGCGCCCACTTCCACGTCTGCGTCCCTGATCATTGATTGGCAAAACCGCCCTACAGTTGTTGCCTGTTTTGTTGCTACTTTTATCTCTGACGATGGACCCCTGCGTGATTTTGAAGGCTCAGACAAGTGAACAAATGCTTTCGGAACCCGACCAGTCTTCTTCTTCTTCTTCTTCTTCTTCTTCTTCTTCTTCTTCTTCTTCTTCTTCTACTTCCTTACTCACACGGACACCTGGAATTCAAACAGTTGCCCCCATTCCGTCATGCCTTTTATTTGTGCAAGCTTTTTTTCCAGTTATCCCGTCTACTAGGTCTTATCCTCCTTATTAAATTTAATTTAGGTTGATGTTTACTAACCCTTACGCGGTGCACTCCAAAGCTAGTGTAGGTTTCGACTTCGATCGTTAGTGCCAAGTTGATGGCGGAATCTTCTTCGCCTCTTGCTGGCGTGGATAGCATCGAGAGGCTTACTGCCCAACTGGTTGCGTTAACGACTCACAAATAGCGTGGGATCGCCCTATTGATCGCTATTACTCGCTACACGCACGCACGCGAAGGCATTGATTCTTCCCCCTATCTACGTCACCTTCCATTACTGTCATTACTTCCATTACGAAATTCAAGCTGACAGACGAAAAATATGCAGACGACAGGAACTCTCAGCCGACAGGGGGAAGCAGCTGTCTAATCCAAATAATCGACATCCTATATTTTAGCGTCAGTGTGTCGAGCTGTTAGTAGTGTTCCAGTTTCTTTTTGGTAATTTGATTCCTGTGAGGCTTTTCGTCCGCTATCGAAGTCCAAGGACAGGCCCGCAGACATAACCATAATAGCGTTTGCAACTGAACTTCGAAGCTGCGCATGCTCCGTTTACAAAACTAGTAAGCTGTGAAAGTGCTGAAGACTATCAAGTTTAGTTCTCAAACAACGGCTCTACTAAAAGGTCAAAAGAAACGTCGAATAGCGACAGAAAGAAGACTGGCAACGGTATGATGAAGGACCCCAAGTAGCTGTTGGTAGCCTTGGATCTTGTTTTAATGTGGTTACATGCGAAATCTAGTTAAGTACTGATGACGAGCAGTTGTAACCAAGATCGGAGAAACAAAAAAGACACAGATCAACTGGGCATGAATTGAGGGATGACAGAAGCGTCTGCCAGGGAGTAGGCTCAGTTATTCGATGGTCAGGCGCTCTTTCAGGGTAGAATGCCATGGAATATCCAGCTTGATACCCTACTCGCATACATCCATAATTTTACTCGGCAATGTCGTTTGTGTCACCTACCGTCTTCTATGTTTTTCCGCGTTCAGTCAACTTGCTGTCCGTCATGTTGCCCACACGTAACCCCCTCTCATTACCATAATTCGCGTATGACCCGATGCACAGTATACCCATAGTTACAGTAAGTGGGCTAACTCATGAAATCTTGACAGAAATTCCGAAATGCGTTTTCGTTTCGAAAAGATTCATTAAGTGGAGTTGTAAAACTAATCATCCTGCAGCATAATTATATAATAATTCAGTTACCCCAGGACGCCAGCTTTCGAACAAACTTCTTTTTGGCTTCATCCAAAAACCAAGCTCTGTAAAAAATGACTACCTATGTGGCATGCATTTTTCTCATTGATTTTCGATGCCCTTAAAAATTCAATTATATTTCATGGAAAACATACACAAAAATATGCATTCTTTTGCCCATTCGGTAAAAATTACGTCTTCTTTTAATTTTACACTCGAAGGAAGGTTATAATTTGGCTTTATAAAACTTTTCGAATTTCCGAATAATTTTGAACCCAACCTGCTGTTACACTTGCATTCAGGGCTTCCAAACTACAAGCCGTATATTTTCCGCGTACGGAAAACCACACATCTCTCTACGGTAATAAAGAGGGACCATATAGGGTTCATAAAATTAAACCGTGGATTTGATCCATATTGTTAACTTTAGAAGCCACATTGGTAAATGCAGAGACAGGACGTTTTATGAAGGGTCATTTCACGGTATTAAAAAATCTCACACTTAGAAACTTTTTTAAAACCGAATTATACCCCTCCTTCGAGTGTAAAAGTAAAAGAAGACGTAATTTTCTACTGAATGAGCGAAAGAATGAATATATTTTTCATGTTTTCCATGAAATATAATTGAATTTTGGAAGGCATCGAAAATCAATGAAAAAATGCATGCCACATAAGTAGTCATTTTTTATAGAGCCTGGTTTTTGGATACAGCCAGGAAGAAGTTTGTTCGAAAGCCGGCGTCCTGGGGTAACTGAATTACTGTGGAGTTATGCTACATGATGGTTAGTTTTACAACCCTACTTAATGAATCTTTTCGAAACGGAAACGCACTTTGGAATTTCTATTGAGATTTCATGAGTTAGCCCACCTACTGTAAGTGGGGTCCTTCACCCTACCGTTGCCGAAAGACGTCAAGAGTGCTGACTATGTAGAGGATAATTGGACTTCAACACTAAAACACAAGTTGAGAAACAAACGCTCTATATAGCATATCAGCAGGCCAGTAGCTCTATTTTCAGGCTATGGTCAATGACCAATCCCATGAAATTCTGAAATGCGTTTCTGATTAGTAAGGATTACTTAAGTTGAGTCGTAATATTTATTATCGGGCAGCATAATCCCAAGATATCCCAGTCACGCCAGGATATTGGCTTTTGAATGTTCTTCTTTTAGACCGGCTGCAGAAGCCATGCTTGGTAAAGAATGACTACTTAAGTAGTGAGAAGCTTCCACTGACGTTGGGTGCTCTTGTAAGTGAACACGTACTTAGTAGAAAACGCGTTCAAAAGTGCAGTTCCTTGAGCTTATTTGGTGGTAAACCACGTCTCCATCTGACTTTTTACTCAGAGAAAGATTGTCTTTGGGCTTTAAAAGTTTGCAGTTATGAATTTTTTTAGAACATGACATGTCCATTTACGTGACATCGTATCTGTCCGCTTAGTAGTGCTCCTTACAAGGTATACAACGCGGTTCAATTCTCTTGCGACATTTATGAGCCCTATACGATGATTTCTTAATGGCCCAGGGGAATCTATGATTCTCCCTGCATGGAAAGTATACAATTTTGGACCGTGAAATCTGGACTCAAATCTAACGGCAAATAGGGAACAAAAGTATATGGGCATTGAAAAACTTTCTTAAAACCTAAATGTTAAACTTGTTCGAGTATTTATACTCGAAAGACGTGATCTGCTGCCAAATAAGCAGAAGGAAGTATATTCCTGAACACGTTTTCTATCAAATAAAAATTGACTCCATAGGAGCATCTACAATCAAATGAAAAATTATGTTATTAAAACAATCATTTTTACCGAGGGTGGTTTCTGCAGCCCGTCAAAAAGAAAAGCATTCAAAGACCAACATCCCAGCCTGACTGCAATACCTTGGGAATATGCCGAATGGCAATTAATATTACAAACTCACTTAGGCAAATCCTTCGGACCAAAATAGCAGTTTAGAATTTTAGTTGATATTTCATGCGGCTGATCACTGAGAAGCATTTAGGACAGACTAGGGTTCACATGCGGCGGAAAAGCGACTGGGTTACTGAAGAAAAAGTCAGTAGGGTTGTAATTTGTAGACGAAGAGTGGAGAGGGGTAAGGTTTCCAAAATGGCCTTGATATGAGATGGCATTTAGTATTCGGCAGAAGAGTAAATAGCAATTGAGGTTGATCCAGATACCGACGCAATAGCGATACAATAAATTCCCCATGTCATTAGCACATCATGGCTCGGTAGCAGCAGTGATTTGGAAGGTCGCCAGCTGACATCATCACCCAATCTTCCGGGCTGAGGGTCGTGCTGAACTAACTTACGGTCAGTGTAGTGTTTGAGGTGACTTATGCCCAAAGAAGAGTCCCGAGACTCCTCTTTTAAAGCCTGTTCCATGTGCGTGTAGTGTACAGCACGTGTTTGGCACGCGCAGACGGCATCCACTTATGTGAATCATTGCGCTCAAGCATACCTCGAGCCTTATTGACCCTGTTGTGCCATTTAAACATGGCGGATGTACAAGAAATTTTTGCATATGCTATGAATGTCCCCTTTACTACAAAACCACTTTACGTGCCAGCCGCTATCGCGCCCTCGAGACGGCGGTGATCTTCGTTGGGAGTGGGGAGGGTGAGGGAAGAATGAAGTGCAGCAACCGCGACTCGCAGACGATGCGGGCGTAGGTTAAATCACGTCCATGTAACGCCCGTACAAGAGTATAAGGCCCAGTTATCGAACTCGATGCTCAGCCCTCATACTCTTACCAGGATGCATTGCCACTGTAAGTTTACACGGCAATATGGCACCCGATAGATCGTTTGGAAGGCTAGATTAACCGACCGTTTTCAGTCCACTCATGGGCACTGAATCGCCAAGAACGAACGCAACTCTACGGTTTGAAATATGACTTTTAATCGCATTATTACGGTCCAATGATGCGTCTTCTGGTCACAAAATAAGTGCCCTCATGACTCTTCTTCCGAATCTATCGAGGCTATTAAGCAAGAGTACAAAGGTATATATATTAACTCTTATGGGCAAACTGGTCCATGAGGGGTGGTGATGGTTGCCATCTGGCGCACTCCGTTTGCAGTGATAGGCCCAGTTCTCAAGTCTACCCCGCCACGCGGCCTCATCACCGCGCTCTCTGTCACACACACCAGTCGTGGTGACAACGCAGATCGTGCGATCCTCAGGGCAAATTTCAGATCGACGCATAATTTCGCGCTCGCTGATTGGCTTGGGCGGCTACCACTTCCTGCTGCCCCCTTATAGGTCAGCGCTTATGCGCGGGTTTCTTTTGAATCAGACTGCACATCCCGCTTCTGTAAAGATTGTGTGCTACATCCTGTGTTGTTGACTTTTTGTTCCCGAACTCGTAATTTACAGACACTCCTAACAAATGAGTGGGCTGACTTTCTTAAGTATAGATATTGAATTGTCCCATAAACTCATCCGTTTTTCATTTATTCGAAATTTTATCATATTCTTATAGATTATTAATAAAATTAATAAATTGTGCATTCCTCTCCGTTGCTCACAACCCCCTCCCAAAGCTCAGTCAGTTTTTAAATCCCGGGCCTGAAGAAATCTGCGGGTTTTGACGAAAGGAAATCTTCGATCCAGTTTTGAAGACTCGTGTCGTTATTGAAAGGTACTCTGGCCAAATTGTTTTCGAGTGACCGGTGAAAATGGTAATCCGATGGAGCAAGGTCCGGAAAATATGGCGGACGCGAAGATCATGTTTGGTTCTAGGTGTTGTTTGCTTGCTGGGGCTTAGCCATTCTTTCCTTTGTTTCATACCAACATATAAGCACAATTTTTTCATCGCCAGTAACAATAAACTTCGAAAGTGGTTTACGTTGCTGACGAGCGAGACGATATCGGGTCAGTAATGAGGCACAAACACACTCGAATCAAAGATGTCGGAAGTGTTCATTTTGTTGACCTGTCAGTCCGATTTCTTTGAATTGTGGATAAGCACACGTTAATTCGAGTTAAACACTATGTACGAATTCTGCAAGCGCTTGGCCAGAGGTACGAAATGACATACAACATAAATACATGGAACAAATTATGACATAACAAGATTTTGAATGATTCAAAAGTGCACGAACTTAGTAGACAATCGAATAGTGTGGGATGTAGACAAATTGTTAGATTTGTCTTCACCGGAAGGCCCCTCAACAGTTATCTTTGTTTTCGTGATGCTAGGAGGTAGAAGAATCAAGCAGTCTCATGTTTTTTCATGACTCCAATCAGGGACAGAGAGTCTCAAGCGCTTACTAGAATTATAAAAGACTCTGAAGACATTAATTTGACAGGAAATGACACAGCAAGAATATACTGAAAAACCAAACATCGTTCAATGATAGGAATTTTAGTAGCGCAAACGCCCCAACGGCGTAACGTGCCTTGTCATTCTTTCCAAGAAATTCAGGGGCTTTGGGACCACCTCGGTATTGCAGAAAAGGCGGTACTTTTCTGCCAAACCCGCGGTGCGTCAGAAGTCTTAGGGGGTTTTTTGTCATGTTTAATCAGAATACTGCATTAGTTCGCCCTGAAGTTTTTAAAACCCACTGTTAAATGGAGAACTACTTATCAGCGTGAGTAGTTCTCATGAAGGGTTAGGAACAGAAAGTAGATCTGAGATTGAGGCAAATTGTCCAAAGCAGAACTTTTAGGGTAGTTATTTACTTCTCTGCAGGAATTTGACAAAAACAATTTGAACTACATACTACTTGCACAAGCAGCAGTCAGTTTTAATAATCAGAAGTGTCGTGCTCTTACTCTGTGAATGAATGTTCCGTCGAAACCTTTCCTTCACGAGTGCGGAATGCGTTCTAGTGGGTACAAATTAATCTCATAATACTTCATTTCCAAAAAGCAACTGCAAGTAATAAATTTAATGCATCCGGAAAATTACTTTACCTTATTTCCGGTCGAGATGGTTGTTAAAATCTCAGACTTATGTTGCACCGTCACCACTAAGGCGACATCACTCAACCTGCGGGCATCCAACCGTCAGAGAGTCTTCCAACCTTTTTATGTGCTTTCTGGTACACAGTTTTTCGAAATTCGCTTCACAATTTCGTGCCGAGTAAATTAAGAGTGAATTCTTCTTTGCTTGCCCACTGTGAATACGGTAGTCGTTTATTGTGAGTAGTACATAAACCACTTTGAAAATAACGCCCGAGGGTAATTAGTAACTTAAGTAAATTACGAAGTCCTGCGTTCTCTCAGTCGACAGGGTTAGATTGAAAGGCAATTGACTACTGAAAGGGAAACCAGTCTTTCCAAAATTTAGATCACATAAGCTAGTCTTAAAATTCTGGGACGTGCAAGGCCAGAGCACTCAGCTAACTTTGTTGACAGGCTAGGGATACTCTTGAAGCAAATGGGGGCTGATTGGAGAGTAGTGTAGGGCGTGCTTTGGGTGACCGTTGTAAGAACAGACACGTCTGGTAGAGAGCCGGGAATGTGAAGACATCGTGGCAGTTTGTGTGCACTCTCTGTGGACAGTTGATTGCCTTTAAACCGGCGGTCTGTCGGAGAGTTCGACCCTCTGAGAGCACGGAAATGCTTACTTATACAGAATCGGTATCTAACCCAGCCTGTAGACGGACCGTGGAGGGAAACGGGAGGCGATGTGGGACGCCGTCCCACCTTAGCATTTGCGCTGTGCTGACGGGATCCATTTTTTGGGTTTTAACATCGATTCTTATATTTACTGTGCAATAGCGAAAACAAAATCATGCGTAGATACCGAAGAGAAAAAACGGTTGGGATAGTTTGCAATGTACGCGGATTTGCCGACTATAGGTAGTTTTTATACCATCCAGTGAAGATTTTAAATTAATCACAATTTCTATAGCAAGGGATGTAAGCATATCAGGATCAGATTACCTAGGGTGACATATTTGAGATTAAGGTCCCTTTATTCCTAAGTACTGGACGAACAGCCCACTGTCTGGTCACATAAAAATGCCATGGATGAAAATATGTCACACATACTTACATAAATGTTCAGGTTTAAACTTTTTCTGTCTTAATGGCTGGTTTTCGTGCAAGAGTTCATGCCACGGCCAATGAAGTCCGGCTAAGCAAATGAAAAACGGATTTTTGAGTTGGAAGGAGATGACCACAGGTATGTTCGCCCTCACGGAACCGGACTGCGTTCGCCTGTGTGGGCGAACCCGAAAATCCCGCTAAGATCCTGGCCGTTTCACCTGGGATATTTTCTAGATTTTTTAAGAGTTTAGGGTCATGTTGAAAATCTGTCATGCCCTTATCCCAGCGTTTAGGGGATATGCCAGTTCGACCGCCATAATCAAGGACGTCCGTTGCGTGCCTCGCTGAGTGGGTGTATCGTCGGCGACTTGCGCAGCATCTACCGCACCTCCTGCTCCCCCACCCACCTCGATCCAATGGCAGAACAACGTCAAGACAACCGGGGCTGACGCGGTCGCGGAAGTAGCGGCTGCTACAGATCATCAGGCGTGCGGAAGTGCAGGTCGCAACATGCCCGTTCCCCTGTGCCTTGGGTTCGACGTAGAGCTCTTGCAGACAGTCGCATAGCGATCAGGAATAGCGTCAACAAAGCCAAGGGGGACTGGAGTGGCCATTTCTGGCTTTATTGCCCGTTGTCAGTCAGCCTTACCAAACTCGGAGTCTGCGGGATTGGAGATTCGAACTCGCGCCCCCTGGTCACCTAGCTTTATTAAGTTTAACGCTCTACTATTGAACCACGGGTCCGTTGTCCTGTCGGTTTTAATCGGAAAGATTAATTGTGAGAAAAGCGTGTTCATCGAACAGGTTAGGCAAAATGCCCGTCCCAGCATATAAATGACTTCTTATGGATTGACTGTGCTTCGTATTTGCTAATATCCTGTTGTTTGAACTATACATGTTGATGTACTATTGCTGTGCTTGTAATTTTCATTTGTATCTGTGACGGAAAATATACGAGTCGCCAGTTTTCCTTTACGATGTTTTCTGGATACCTCATAAACGAAAAAACGATAGTGGGATTATTTCAAGATTATAATTGGGAAAAATATGCCGACGACCCCTGGGCATTCATGGAACATTTGTATACAACATCACTTATTAATCCCTCCTTGCCTGTTGTTCTTTCTCTCGCAACCCCGTCTAATTTTTACGTTTACTGGTCACATTGTCAAACATCATTTATTCGGTGATTTAGTAGCGATCACGTACGTACTTTGCTTTGTTGCTAGACTGTTGCTAATACCTGGCTTGTTTTCGTAGCATGATTTTCAATGAAAACTGCGCATGAAAATGTTCCAGTCAAGTCTTCTGTCTGGTTCCTTCGCGCAGCGAGTAACTTGAGGGCCGAAGGATGGTCGCTGAAAGAGTTGTGCCGGCCGCACCTCTGCAGTTCTTCGAAAGACCTCATAATTATTGTTCTTGTTTCTCCCTCACACATCAAACCCGAAACAAAGGAAATGTATGCTCACTCACCCCTTGATTACAATTTACAACAGTGCTACTTAAATAATTTCAATAACACGTTTAGGCTCATTTATCTAGAGCTCGCCGATGGCCACCTCATGACCTCCTTCAATGTAAAAATCGGGGCTTCAATCGCACCGATAAGTACCCTCGAAAACATTCAGCTACGCTTATGGACAACCATGTTTCAAGGTTTCTGAAATAGAGGATAGATGACACGGTACAAAGCTGTATAACCGAAGGCCCTTCTGATGCATGTGGGAACCGCGTCGTAGGGTATGGATTTTACGGTCAGTGGTTGCAACAACAACGCCGATCATACTATGGAATTGCCAAGGAGCAGTCCAAAGGTCAGTCCCAAAAGTCCCCGACTAGGGAACATGCATAGGAGGAGGGATACACAAAAGCGCCCGCAACCGAAACGATTTTTGGCCAACACGGCTCACTCTCTAGGACGTAGAACTGGAGTGTCCTAGTTTTTATCTCCTTCATCATTATCTCGACCAAGAGGGTTGAATGGGAAAAGGAGATGCCAGTGCCACAGTCTCCACAGTTGTCCGAGATGGACTGGCAACAATAAAGGCTAACATTAGATTGTATAGGAGAGAGTAGCCAATGTAACAGCCAAAATGCTTATTCAAGGAACCAGAGTTGGCGCCAGCGACTAACGTGGGAAGACGACTTCTGGTGGGTTTGACAACAGCGAAAAAAGTTCTTTTGGCTAGTCGCCCAAAAGTGACCGCTAGACTCACACCCGTCCAGATGGCATTATTCGTTCTGTTGTGAGACAGAACTAGTTGTGCGCATTCGAAGAAATTACTTTACTTCAAGGCAGCGAAAATAACTGCTACTTTTTACTTGCGCGTGTAATTTCGATCTTCATAGTGGCTCCTTAAAATAACTTTCATTTCAGTAGGGATATGTCAGCTCGCAAAGCGAAGTCTTGAGAAATCTTCTGCTTAGGTTAAACCTGGCCGTGTAACTCCTGTGCTCTAAACGGACTGATAATGGTGAATTAAACCTACTCCACGCTGCTCTGTTACGCACAGATCCGGATGCATTTATTTTTGAATACTGGCCATTCTCGTTCAGGAATCATTCCGTTTTTCAAATTTCAAGTTCGTGTTAGTACATTTCGTTGCAGACAAGATGCCGAAATAGCCTGAAACTTTGATACTCCAACCTTATGCGTACGAAGGATGAAAAGGGTTCACTATCAACCGCTAGCTGGTCCAACGAATCTGGTCATGTATCCATCGACAGGCTCTTACGAATGGAGCATAGTATCCCTTATATTGGAGACCTACTTTTCTCTATTCGAACATATTCAACTAAAACGAATGAATAGTCGTGGTTGAGCAAAGCACAAATTATGCGCGGAGTCAAGAAGCAGTTCGCGGCATCCATTGTAACAAAACGATTTTCGGTAATTTTACGAACACGTGCGATGATTGCCAGAACTGATAAATTAAGTGAATGTGTGGTCGTGCCAAGTTTATCCTATAACTATTGCCCCCTATATTAGTTGCACATTAGATGTCCTTAGGGACACGAGCGGGAACTTGTCCACGGAAGCCACCGTAGTCACGGAAGACATCTCGTTTACAACGATGAAGACAAAAGGTAGATGAGAACGAAGTATGCCACCCCAATTAAGATAATTCTCATAATTGCCTACTAGTTTTGTGGAAGTAGGGGTGTTTTGTTTCACTTATTGTGCCAAAAACAATAATTTGTGGAGAGAAGGAAAAGAAATTAAGATCGGTTCATACATTTTTTTCGGGACACTCTGGGAATCAAATGGCAGGAAATAAAAGTAAGGACTCTTTGGACCGCCAGAAAGGCAGAGTTACTAGAAAGCTCGCAGTCAATGGGGGAGGGTCTCCGATAACATGAACATTTCTTCCGGATAGACGCTGTGTGGCCATGATAACAGTAATGGGCAGCACCTAGCGGACAAAGTTACTTTTATGCAAAAAACAAACCTCCGGACCGTGGGCGCTTTTCTAAAGTCGACTACCGTCCGGCTGAACACCAAAAACTCCGTAGATTAGTGGCGCAACCGGAATCGAGACTCGGACGGATCCTCACCTTGGCGTTACACTACACCCCCTGGTCCACACAACAATAACCAGGATTTCAACCAACACAACAGAGTTTGGAGGCTGGCACGACCGAAGCCGCACCTAGGCGTGCCGCCAACGCCTGACTCGGATCCCAAATTGTGGAGGGAGTGCCATAAAGGCCACATTAAAAAGGAGCCATTGCAGCCTGACTCTCAGACCGCCTCCAGTCAAGGAGGAGGTCCAAGGTACCCCGTCAGTTGGCAACCTTCCAAGCCACGGCTTTTAGCGCACCGTGATAGCTTCAAGCGCGTCAGATTGATTATAGTGAGGAGAAAGTGCGCTGAGTCGTCGACTTCACTCTCCCTTCCCATTCCCACACGCCAGCCGCTGTCCGAGCCGGTCAGTAGACTGGAGTGGTGGATGGGCGTGGTGGCTGGCACGGTCGACTGACCATGCCTGCGCGCGCCACGAGCACGACCTGGCCCACCATACACACAAACACCAGGATTTCACAAAACGGGGGTTGAACGGCGTGTCGCTCACTTGCGTGAGAGTGCCATGGAAGGTGCTGTTTCAGCCCGTCCCAGCCCACCAGTCCGCCACTACACACAAAACACACACACACACACACACACACACACAACGCGACGAACTGCGTGAACCGAGAGCGGGCCTCGATCAGCAACCTTCCTATCCACGACGCTTGACGTGTCGGGATAGTCTCGGACTCAAGTCACCCGCGCAGCAGAAGCCGCATGGGGACCGAGTCGAGATGCACACTTCCCACTTGCGTGGGAGGTGGCAGTTGGGTGCATGAGGTGTGTGAGTGTTGATGTCTGGTGGGGTGATGGTGGTGGTGGAGGAGGTAGGGAGTGAGTGAATGTGTGGTGTGGCCGGCGGTTGTCTACCGCAGGTCGTCGTGGATGCGCATGTGACCGAATAGACCCATGCGGTGCCTGAAAGTGCGAAGGCAGCGTGGGCAGTTGAGTCGAGCTTGGTGGGTGTAGGTTGGGGCTCCAGGCACTGGTTCTCCAGTCCCTGTGCGATGGATTCGCAAGTGACCGACCAGGCCGATGCGTGAGGTGAATGTGCGTGGACAGTGGGCGCATGAGAAGTCGGCGATGTCAGTGTCAGCTACAGAGGAGGCGGTGGTGGTGGTGGTGGTGGCGCAGGCGGATGGAGCGAGGGTGGGACTGGGCGTGGTGGATGTGCTGGATTTGGTGGGTATGTCGGAATTGTGGTCATTTCCACTCTCGTGGATGCGCATGTGGTCGAATAGACCATGCGATGCATGAAGGTGCAAGGGCAGTGTGGGCAGTGGAGGCGAGTGCGGTGGGTGTAGGTTGGTGTGCCAGGCACTGGTTCGCCAGTCTCTGTGCGATGGATTCGCAAGTGACCGACCAGGCCGATGCGTGAAGTGAAGGTGCGATAGCAGTGAGGGCAGATGTAGTCCTGGCCCTCACCTCTGACGATGTAGGATGTAGGGGCTGTGCCTGTTGTTGTGGCAGGTGCGGCTGTGGTGAAGTCGTGCGCTACAGACGCCGGAGTGGCCGTCGTTGTGGCAGTGAAGGAGGAAGAGGAGGAGGACGGGGAAGAGTGAGGGGTGGTAGAGTCGGTGGCGTCGATGTCGGTTGAGGAGTGGTTGGTGGGTGCGCAAGGTGATGAATTGGGATTGGGGCTCGGCGGGGTGGGTGTGTCGAGGTTGCGGTCAATTCCGCTCTCGTGGATGCGCATG